GTCTTGCTCATGGTGGTACTGTTGGGTCTCTGTAAATGTTAAAAGGAGTTCGGTCTAGACCTGCTCTATTTGAAAAGTGTCCTGAGATAACTTATGTTATGAATTGGCATACAAATAAAACTGACTTGAATTGAATTGAATGTGAGTGAATTTTCACAATTTATTGTTTTTAAGATTGCCATAATATTTTTGAAATATTCCTATAGCAGTAATTTATTGTGATGGCTTACAAATCATGAGCAGTGATATGACCTATGACCCAAAAAATGCAGATACTTCACTCACTTCACTGCCTTTCTCTAGCACAGTAATACCCTGTCCTGTCTAGCTAGCTATCGCTAACAGAGTAATACATTGTCCTGTCTAGCTATCACTAGCACAGTAATATGTACTTCGACTATCTGCTACAATCATCATAGCTAATAATATACAGAGTAATTTTGTAGTTACTGCAATTTTTACATTGTTTTTTCTCTAAGAGCAAGACTGAACTTTATGGTTAAATAACTACATTTTGACCAAAATATGACTTAATGTGGTTTCCTTTGTAGGGCAGGATTGAATACCCCTAACTTTTTTTCTTTATCACTTTCTATATTACACCTTTCATTGACTTTCATTGTTTCTTTATTTTACACTCAACAGTTTGATTTTAGTATAATACTGTGTTGACGGTCTATTTTATTAGTAGTGGAACTGCTGTGCAGATATAAGCCACAGGGACAAAAAAATACATTTCTAATATGTATCGTTATTTATACTTATTTATTGAGAAATGCACTGTGCAAAGTCTGTGGCAAGTCTACCAAGTGGAACTTTTGATCAGAGACTCTCTGTGGATGAGGTGCATCAGATGTGTCCTTCTGTGTCTGCCCTTCAGCCGGCCACACAGCTATCTGTCACAACCTGAGTGTGGTTCATTACACTGAGACTCCATCTGCCAGGGCAGACACTCGCAGGGCAGACTGGCACTGAGTGTGACACCTGCGCCTGATATCTGCCTTCGTGCCCTCTCCTTGCTCTTCAGCCAGACTCATTCACTGTGCAGAGGCACACGCTGCAGAGAGGCAGCGACAGTTAGTGCAACCGGATGAGTGTGGTGATGGATTCGAGAATTTTCTTTTCACAGTCCCCTGAGAGGTGTTACTGTAGCCAGGGAGAAGTGATGATGACACTTTCTCTATTTAACTAATCGACATTCTGTTGGTCTACTCACATATTCAATGGCAACTTTTAATTCACAGTGAAATATTGATACAGATTCTGAGCAGTGTTCAGTGCACCACTGTCTTTGAAGCTTTATTTTGTTATGGCAATTTGGCAACTCAACTTCTGACAAACAGGAGTAAGACAATGATATCTCTTACAATATTATCACACTATTCAATGTGCATACCGAAATAGTAGCTGTTCACTCCTTTATATTATGGAACCGTCCTGTTTGTCATTGTGCTATAACACCAGGTCTTGTTTGTCTGTCTGCCCTGACCTGTCTGGCTGATGCCAATTAGCATCCTTCTGCTAAGACTCCCACAGGCCCCGCTTATCCTTGTGAACATTCCCACTGGACGAGCAGCTTATTCTAGAGGCACCTTTGTAGCTAGTGTTGCTTCATGACAAAGTTATATTTCTATGCACTGATGTAGGGACTTTTATAAAAATAACTTTTTGTCATATTTTTTGAAACTTTCACTATATACTGACAGTAGTACATACAAACAGATAAATCTGAAAAAATCAGGTTCCTTTGGCTCCTCCTAGAGCTCCTAATGGCATTTGTAAGACTCCACCGTACCTGAACAAATCAGAGGCAAGAAAGATAGTTGATTGTTGAGTCTGTTGAGATATGAACAGGTTAATTAATTAAAAATTATTGAGAACTACCTGAAATTACAGAAAAATGTGTTGTACATGTACTATATTTTTTAGTTCGGCCCATATCCCATCTGTTAGGCAGTAGGTTTTACGACCTACACTGCCGTCAGGCAACAGAGGGTGATAGAGATGTTTTGGCTTCCCAAGAGCTGTCATGTCGACATGGACGACTTTATATATGTCGATGGACAGAACCTTAAGAAGTGTCACTGGTAACACCTGTGTTTACATATTA